ATTTATTATTATTTATTATTTATTTGTTTGCTTATTTATTTATTTATTTATTTGAAATGACGCATAAGGCAGTCGTGGGAAATAACGATACATAAGCAACAGTACAACAATCTTTCCTTATAGATAACCTAGTTACATAATAGCTCAACAAATTTTTTTAGCTAGGCGTTTGAAAAGCACAAAAGTGGGAGTAACGACGAGTGCTACATTTGATTTAAGAGAAGCATATATAGACCCCGCACGACAGGTGAAGCTATAGAGCTTCACGTTAGTTCTTGGCGTTGCATATGAAATTTTCTCAGGCCCTCCTCTGGTTCTAGATCTGCCTTGACATAAAATTTGGATGCATCAACTCGGGCAATACCGGATAACAACTTAAACACCATACAAGCGTCATAAACTTTTCTACGAGATCTTAAACTATGCAATTGGTAACTTCTATTTCTGGAATTCGGTTGAGGCACACGAGCGTAAGTAGCATCACCAGCCCTAATAAATAGTTTTCGAGTGAAATTATCTTGGATTTTTTCGTGTAACTGGATATCTTTTTCTTATGGCAGGGCAAGACCGTTGTACCACATTCCGCGATGGGACGGATATACGTTTTGTAAGCTTTTATTAGGACATCTTTATCACTTATCGCCAAACCCTTGAAGACTTGATATGTACGAAACACAGCCTTTTTGGTGATGGCCGCATAGTGATCAGAGAAACTCAGCTTATTGTCATAACGATAACCATGATCTTTGACTGGAGAAACTTCATCAAGGACATGACTGCCAAGAGAGCCTTTGACTGAAGAAACTTCATCAAGGACATGACTGCTAAGCAGTATGAATAACGGTCGAGGATTTCCTCGACCATAGCTCCTCTACACATGCGGAGAGTTAGTCGCCGAGATCGATGACACGTCGCGCGGAGAGCCACCAGGGGCAGACAATCCTCGACGTGCCGTTGAGGAATCCTCAAGCGATATTCAGCCTGCTGCTAAGAGAGTAGGTGTTTGCAATGTTAGAAACACCAATCCTCATATAAACAGTTTTTCAGGAGAAAGGGGTAAATTCCATTGACTTGACCAATCAGAAATACAATTAGAGCCATCTGAATTCTTATTGTGTCATCAATGCCTTCCAACTTCCTATAAACCTTAATGTCATCTGCAAATTGTTTGCAAACAACACCACATCTTTCCAGTAAACCGGGAAGCTCTGCAGTATACAGCAAAAAGAATAGGTGATAAGACACCACCTTGGGGCACCCCACTTTTAACATCCATTACCTTAGAAAACGTAGACCCAATTCGGACCTGAAACGTTCTTGAAGAAAGGAAATTTTTTTATCCATCTACAAACTAAAGGATGAAACTTGAGCTGATCTAGCTTGAATAGAAGTTTAGTAATGGTCAACTTTATCAAAGGCTTTAGAAAAATCGAAGTAAACTACATCACAAGATTTCTTTCATCAAGGTAATCACTCCAGTCGTTAATACATTCCAGAAGATTTGTTTCAACCGATCTACCAGGAACAAATCCATGCTGGTTGGGTGGTATTATTCCATTTTTCTCAAGATGGGCCATTATGTGCTTCTTAAGAACCTTCTCAAATGTACGACAAAAAAATGAGGTTATAATGACTGGCCTGTAGTTGTCAATAGAATGAGAAGGCTCCTTCTTGAGTAGTGGTGTCACAAAAGAATGTTTCCATCTATCAGGGACCTCAGGGAGGGACAATAAATCATCATTATCAGAAAACA